AACTGCCACTAAATGAAATAACATAATGTAATTAACTACTTTACTCGTTTTATTTACCAAAATAGATAAATTAGGTTCGGACAAACGAGCTTCGGCTAATCGGGGCGCCCCCCGTTTTTGGAACTACAAACGCGGGCTTATTTGAATACAGCCATAAGTTGAAAGAACGAGTTGGGGAAGGGGAAAGGGGCGGGAGCATATGCAGCGCCTAGTGTGGACTTTTCAGGGGCCCCTCTAACGTCGGTGAAATAAAAAACTCTATTTTCTTTTGTACTGTACTTTATTTCAGGCTTAAACAGCATCAGTCATAGTCCACAAAACGTTAGGCTACAGGGGTATATCCAATGACTGACAAGTGGAAAAGCACTAGTATGCTAGTCATAATGTTTGGTTGTGGTTGTGATTAACCTTTCAGTGCTACACAATTAAATAATGAAACAGTAGCTGTTCATTAAGAAATATATCATTTTAAGAAATATATCATTTATAGCTTTCAAGCCAGAAACAAACAGAACTGTGAACATTCTGGCAGCCCTGACAGCAAAGCAAACAAATGCAGCAATTTTCCATTTTGTCGGTCACTAGATAAACCTCAGCAATGATGAAACCCCATTCACACAGCACACCTCAGAAGGTAACATGTGCACAAGCACATCAAATCTTATCACAATCCTTTCTGGCAAAGTCGCTCAAGATCCATTTCAAACATATGCAACATACAACATGATATAAACTTTAGGATATTCATTTTATAGTGTCTTATTTTGCCAGCTAAACTCACTTTCAAACTGTTAAACCTACACCACTCAAGTCTTAGTCCCATCTTACAAAATCTGAAATCAGTCTTACCAAATTCAAGGCATTTTATCCCAAAGCATCACAGATGACAATTGTATCAGACTTCTTGCAGGACTAGGCATGCAGTCCACCGACAACACTCCTGGGCTTCACAACAGATTCAGGTGCAATATCAACTAGCCACCTCAACTGACGACCACACAAGAATACCACATTAAGATGTGTTAAGATCTGTGACTCACATTGTCCAGGGCTAAACTATCTTTCCTTACACCTAATTAAAAAAAAAATAATAATAAAATAAGTGTGAATAACCTAGCAAGCAAGTTACACAAAAACGCCCACACTGAATTCAAGCTTTCTTAGAACAATATACGTATATGCGGATTAGGTAAAGTAATTGGTCTTAGCACATTATGTGATGAGCTTATAATGTGGGAAGGAGGATAAAAATTAAAAGATCAATCGATAGCTTGTATTGGATGCAAGCATAGAAAAACGTAAGATGTCCTCCATTAAATTCAGTCATTTCTACTAATTTCCATAAGTGTTTGACTGTTTCAGAGTAGGGATCTGCCAGGGAACCTCAGTACCAGTGTAAAAGGTTGGGGGTATAGTCAAAACATAAGTTGAACAAACCAACCTTCACAACTAGACATATAAAAACATAAATACTTAAGACATTCCTAGGTGGCCTTTAAATCTGATATAATTAAGCACAAATTGGAAAAATGAACACAAAGAATAGTCTACTGGCTACTTATTAAAAATGTTTCAAGCTGAATATAACGGCTACTTGTAAAGATAAAACAGTCATGACTAGATTTTAGATATGAAGATACAATTTCAATATGAAAGAAGAAATGTAAGGAGATTATCATTGGAAGGAGAAAAACAGGAACACTAACTAACATGACAGACTTGAAAACAAAAGACAGGAAATTGCCTTAACATTTTAAAAAAAAACAAGTACAGGAGATAAGTTAAGAAATCATTTTCTTAAGAAGGTCATGACCACTGACAAATCACAAATTTTTCTTCATTTGACCCTGTCCTTGATAGATAATAATCCACACCGCTTTTGTTCCTTTTTTTAAAAAAAAAAGGATGCCATGGCAGAAGGCATACAACTCTCTGTGTCAACACCTTAGGTAATACACAGAGATGGCTCAAAGACACAACAAGGAATTAACTGCAAGGGTCACATAAAATTCTCACCTCACCATTCTTTCAATTAAACCACTGATAATAATGAAATGTAATAAACACCAAAAGGTGATAGCTACAACTAAGTTGACAGCTAGATGTACATATACATAGATAGATAGGTACATACCATACACTTAGTAATCACCTACAAACAAAATTTCTAAAAACACAAATTGCATCTACCATAGATATTCATTGCACCGCTTATTGTATCAGAATACCGCACAACAGGATCCAACAATCCATAAGTGCCGAATCCATAGGTGATGAAAGAGCACACACTTTCTAAACACAAGAGGAAGTAAAGTTACAGCACAGGAAAATAATAAATCACACTCCCTGACATCACCTCAATAGGGGGTCGCCACCTCCACCAAATAATTTTCACTACAAACAAAGTGTAGGTAGATATCTAAGCCAGTTGCACTAATACCCATAAGCCAACACTTCAAACTCCAGTACATAACAGTGCAGCAAATGTGAATAACAGGAGTGCATATTTCTTAACTTTAAAAAGCAAGCTTTGTACAGAATGCAAAAGTTCACAATACAATAAGATACAGTATTTTCACCATAATGTCACAATGCAATTGATTAAAAAACAGTAATATTCAGTATTTTCACCAAAATGAGCAATGAGATACAACACTTTTTTGTTTGTTTATTTTGGGTACAATTTAAAATCAACGTCTAAAATATACTTCATATCAGGTAACTCAACATTGTTGGACGAAGAATAAAAACAATATAGTGAGCAAAATTCTAACAAAGAAAGCTTTACTGCTTACTGCTTCTGTAAGATCAATTAAACAGTACCAAATCCAAGGTGAAATCTGATGTCTGAACCTTCCCTTCATTTTTGCTTCATTCACTAAGCTATGTAAGTTGACAGGGAGTATTATGTTATTATCAGTAATTAAAGAACAATAATTACCAGAATTTAGGACTTCATGAATGGGCTGATGTTGATTCAAAGCTAAGTAAAGCTTTTCATAACAATAATATTTGCTAAAAACATGTTATTAAGGCACATTTTCGTTGATCCTGCTCAGCGAAATAATTGACAGCAAGGAACCTAAATTGCAACAAGGTAAAGAAATTATAATTACAAAGAAAAATGGGATTCTGTACAATAACACCAAGCTTTTAAAGTGTATTTGAAACAAACACATGCATAGCTTAAGAATTTTAAAGAAAAAGTAGAGAATGATAATTTAATAAAAAGACAACGCTAGAGCCCCAAATCAAAATTCTCAAGCAGGGTTCAGAAACACACCGTTATTTAAAGATCAAATCACATCCTATCACACTTGATCAAAAATCAAAACAGTACAAGAACAAGCATGGTCCAATTCTCTGATTCAGTTTTTTGAGAGAATCAAGCACTTAATACATGTAAAATTCCATGATAAGTACATCTTAAACACATGTAAGTACAGTAGAATTATTATTTTCAAATGTAACGAAAGCATTGGTTAAGACAAAGGAACACTTTGCCACAATGCCCCTATAATAAATTTATAAAGCAATCATAACATACAAAAATGGAAGATAGGTAGCATCAAATTATGTTAATGATTCCCATGAGACAGGATGGACAAAACTGTATACATAGTTCAACAAATTAAATATATAAATGAACAAAGAATTTTTGCCAACAATGAAAACTTTCCCTCTGATGTAACAAAAATTACCTGTCAGAGAAAAATTATTTGGTGAGAGTAAAGCAAGTGTGCTTTACAATTATGAGAGCACATATGCAATAAAACAAGTGCATCAGTGCACATAAATTCCATTACTCATCTCAAAACTTTAAAACAAAAGTAAAAAAATAATGTACACAACAGACTTTTACCTCAGAGCGCACAAAGGCCAGCCCCTCAACATAAAGTCAATTAAATTTATCACATGTATGCTCTTCTGAAAATTTAACACAGGCAACATATTAAGAAGTTTGTGACCTTACTAACTGATTGGTACAGCATAAGCATTGAGCTAGAGTAGCATTAGAGCAGGTTCATTGGACGCCCCACAGCAAACAGTTCATAAGGCAGTGATAATTACTGCTCTTAATTAATTGTCTAGCTCAAGCCAAAATGAGATCACTATTCTATGATTCAATACAGATCTTTTGCAATAGATGTTAAATTGTACATTAGTTTTGCTGTTTTGTTTGAGGTGTCCTGCATAGCAAGTATTACTAACATCTTGAGTACAAAATGAGTTGTTCTTTGCTTTTGTTCATAAATATTGAGCATAATTCTTTCAAAGAAAAGCAAATGAGTGAACTACCTAGTTGAAAACATTACAATGCTCTGCAGCTATTAGATTAGATAGAATTTACAGGCTAGTAACTAAAAAAATGGCAAATGCAGAAATTGTAACATTAAAATGGAAGACCTAAGAAACTATGAGTGATAATAATTAATTTGAGTTACAGATGCCAGAGAAATATAATAAATCAATACAGCTAAGTGCTGTGCGCAACAGAACTTTGAAAAGATGTCCTATAGTAACTCAATCAAATTCAACAGTAAACCGTAACATAATTAAATTAAACAAAACAGTCAACAGTAGACACAGTAAAATCTAAGCAGAACCATTACATGGAACTTTGCAAGAGGCTAACTACCAAATAGGCAAGGGCATTGATTTAATTCAAAGAACTAGAATACATTTCATTTAGAAGTAACTGATTAAAAGAGGGACAAAGCCATTAATAATATTGGCACAATGGCTTCGTAGGCTGATAGCAAAAAGACTTAACTATACAGTACAGTATGTGGGGTTATTAGAAAAATCCGTTTTATGTTCATAAATCAGATGAAAACATCTCACACACCGTTTTGCTATCTATTTTGGTGATGATAATTTTCAGGGCTTGAATTTGAGAATAAACATATTTGGCATGTCTAAGAGTTAGTAGCCTCAACAGTCTCCATCCGAAGAATACCATGACGAGATTTGAGGTGGTTCTTGAGGTAACGCTTTTGCCCAAAAGCAAGACCACACACAGAGCATTTGAATGGTTTTTGGCCTGAGTGTATACGCTCATGACGAGTAAGATCATTACGAACTCCGAAGCCCTTATTGCATATTTTACAGTGATGCTTCTTTTCACCAGTATGTGTTGTTAGATGACCCAATAACTGCTGGCGCCACCTGAATTTTTTGGTACAGTACTCACACGGATGAGGATATTGATCAGTGTGTGTCTTCCCATGGATGTACAATGATGCTTTGCTTTTGAAAGATTTTCCACAAACATCACAGACATAAGGTCTTTCACCAGTGTGGATGCGGCGATGATCTTGCATTGCAGCTTTCAACGCAAACTTCCTCCCACAAATATCACATGGATGCTCTTTGATTCCCATATGCACATGACGCAAATGGTAGGATAAGCCTCCAGAGTGGGAGAACTGCTTGCCACACAAGTGACAGGTAAATGGTTTCTCACCTGTATGAATTCGTTTGTGAGTCGTATAGCTTTCTTTTAATTTAAATTGCTTTTTGCATACTTCACATTTATAGATTGGCTTTTCCTTGATTATAGCAGGACGTCGAGTTTTTTCCTTTTTATCACTTTCTTCACTGCTCACACTGTAATCTGAATCTTTCATCTCATCATCAAGTTCATCCATATCTTCTTCTTTAATGTGCACATCAACTGCAATGGTTTCATTTTGAGAAGACGAACCTACTGGAGACTCTGAGTTGACGGGGGATGTGTCTGGAAGTGTCATGATGCATTGATCTCCTGTGACATGACGTTGTAACAATTCTTTCGTCTTAAATTTTCTGTTGCAATTGTTGCATGTAACTTGATAAACAGTTTTTTTAACAGGCTCTTTAACTGCCTCTTTTTCACTGGATGGTGATGCTGACTTTTCCTGAATATCAACTGTGCTACTTTCACCATACACATCAGTATCTGACTGCTCATCTTCAGGCTCACTTTTAATACCAGCATTATGGGTCCGAAAATGTTTAGCCAAGTCACATCTGCGATTAAAACGCTTTGGACACAACAAACAGTTCAGTATGCCGTGGGTTGTGAGTGACTTCTGGTTCTGTTGCTCTTGTTTCTTTGTGGAGCTAGAGCGAGTCTGTTTCCTTTTGGCCACAGCTTTTAGTTTTTTCGGAGGCACATAGCTATCATCTGATGAGTCAGAACTATCTGATGGAGTTGTGCTACTATTATCCCGATATGGTTCAAAAACCACATCTGACACTTTTGTGTCGGTTTTGTAATCATCTTTTCTTAAAGAATTAGCGTTGAAGGCATCAGAGTCCACACAGAGCTTTGGCAAGTTTAGTGTTGGAGGGGAATTGCGAAAAGCATGGTACTCAGTGAATGAGATCTGTCTTTTTGCATTCAACCTGTAAGCCAATAATAATAGTTTTATGAGTATATTCAGATAAGAGAAGTCCATAAATAAACATGTGCACAGCAAAACTTTCAATTGAAATCATAAAAAAATTGAATTGATACAAAACCCTCAATAATGAAAAAGAAAAAAATGACTCAGTTGAGCACTCAAGGAAAAATTTGAATGTCAAATACTAATGAATATTACATTAATAAGTTAAATCTGAGGGTGATAATTGATAATAAAAGGAAATAGTAGATATATTACAGATTTTTGATGCATCTTCTCTTGCTCCTTCCACGTCTTGATGTGAGTCACCATGGAGTCTTCTCTCAGTTCAGCGGAGGTGGTTGTAACTTCACAACTGGCAGTCAACCAAAGTTGTTCAAAATTTTTAAATCTCAATAATTTTACTACATAGATAAATGAAGTTTAGTAAAATATTTTGTATAACTTCAGTAACTATTTTTCTACTCAACTATTGCAATCTTTCAAAACAAAAGAGTTTAGCTTTAAAGACTAACATCATAAACAGGGCTAAAAAATTGGCTTTGACTGGCTTTGGATTTATTTAGCTCTAAATTTAGAATTTTATAACAGAAGGAAGTCTGACTCACGTAATATTTGAATTATGGGAAATGATGCGGTTCCTCTTCAAGTGCTGGCGATGAGACTGTCAAAGTGAATTCATTATTTTCATAAATTTCAAAAATATGTCAACTTTTTGAAGCTAGTTATTTTTGTTTTTCTTTTTAAAGAGATGTATTTATAAGAAATAAGTATTAAGATATGAAAAATGGACTCAAAAGTATCTAAAATAATTTAAAATATATGAAATGGACTAGGCAAAGGACAACTTACATCTGATTAACTACATGAGTCTTTGAAAATATCAGCGATATTATCTTCAGTTGTTGAATCCTAATAAGATGTTTTCTTCAAGCTGTTCATCTGGAAGATTTGGTGCAGAATAAAGACAAATAATTGATTAAAACGAAAGGCATAAAAAGCATAGAAGGAAAGCAATTTAATTGGCATCAGGCACCATGTTTGATCTGTGACTATTCTACGTATTGTGTTCTGTAGTGACAGTACGAAATCCTGCAACCTATGCAGTGCTATCCATTTCACTAAACCACATTTTGGTCAATAAAGTAATCTGAATGTAGGGGTAGAACATTCTATTGTGTCTTGATTTCAAAAGTGCCACCACAAGGTTTACATTCAAAAAAGACAATCGGATAGGATGGCCTTTAAGTCAAGGGTTTACTGAAGGAATACAAGTGAACCTTGGTACTTAAGTAACTGATGAAAGAAGAATTTATTTCATTATGTACAAAATAATAATTATAATGTACAAGTATCTTATTTTCACAACCTTTGACACCCTTATTACTACAATTGAACTGGTGACTAATGGAATGAGATCATGGTCAATAAACAAATGCAGATCCAAAGACAAATTACACATGGACATACTGTGATGTTTACACATGTTTTTCAACTAATTGAGTGGAAACTACTTGAGCTAATGCAACAAATGTAAAAGATGGATCATACTTGCACTCACTAACAGCAAGAGGTAAAGGATTTGTTGTACAATAGGCATAAAATCTTTCAAGTAATCAACAGGTTAGAAGAGATGGTCTACTCCTCTAAATAAATGTTAGTTTACAGCAGCTTATTTACAGGGTCTTTGAGGTTCTCTTACAAGTTCTGACAAATTCTACACAATGTACAGCACAAGACAACAATTTAAGATGGCATAGATGAGCATGTTCCATAATTTACTTCTAAATTTCTATCAGTAACATGAGCCAGTTTGTGAGCAGTTGCACTTCTCCTTGAGCTGAAAGTAAGATTACAAATATGACAGTTGAATTTTTTTTTAAGACATCTGAAACTGTGTTGGACTTTTGACAAACTTCTAAGAAATGTGGCTTTGCATTTATTGCAGTGATGATTTGATTTTTAATGGTAACCCTCAATCTGTTGGACCACACCAAAGTTTGTTGGAAAGTACTTCCAGCAAACTGCACAGAAGTTCTTAAAAATACTTAAGTGACGATCTGAATGGGAAATAAAAGCTTGCTTGGAAATTAATAGCCAGTTACATGAAAGGCATTTGTAAAGAGACAATGTCTTTGCCTTGACTCATTCAATTTGTTTGATTACTCCACCTTGAGATTTAACAACTAACCCGGTATCACAATTTGAAGAAGGTAAGAAGTCGGTACAATTTTCAACACTGACTGAGGCAGGAGACTGCAGAGACTGGGCTGGAGCATCAATGAGGATTGGTAAACTTAGGTCACCAGCATCTACTACTTTCGATGGATGTATGCCTGGTGGAGTAATTTTGTGGCCTCCAACTTTCTCTTCATTAATGTATGAATCAATGAAAAAATCGGTCCCATCAACTTTTTCACTTAATACAACAACTCCTGTGGAATCATTAAAGCAAACATTTGTAGGTTCGGGTACAGCTGCCATATTACAGGAGTCAGCCCTTTCCAAAGTTTCACAATTCACAGGTAAAGGATCAAACTGTTTCTCATTTTTGTTGATAAAAGATAATTGTGAAGATATACTCACAGTTATGGAATTTGCTTCTCCTACATTTTGACTGTCATTAACAGTGAAGAAAGGTGAAAGACTATCACCACAATCAATATTTCCACTTCCAGCAATAGAATGTTGAACCACTGGTGAAAAGGTGGGTAAGACTTGGGGAAGAGAAATCTGGAGAGATATCTGGTTCCCATCATCAGATGCACTATGATCTGCAATATGTTTTAACAATTCTGTTTCGCTACTACATCCAAAGAGACATAGCTCACATGCCCATGATTTGACAGTACCTTCTTTATGGCAGTCTTGGATGTGGTTGGTAGCTTCTTCAGAGCTTTCAAAAGTTTTATCACAAAGGGAGCAGAGCTTGTCTTTCAGGAATAATTTCCTTCTCTCAAGCCAAATTAAAAACTCCTCAAGTTTATTTCTGTGGCTTTTTCTTACATGGGAAATTGCATCATATTTTCGTATGAATGATTTCATACAATATGCACAACTTACACGTTTTTCTTTACTATCTTTTGGACGCCCACGTTTTCCACTAATTGCCTCTTCAGATTCTAAGTGAGATTTAACAGAATCTAAAGTCTCTAAAGCTTTAATTTTGAGCTCAGATCTACCTAAAGTGCTGTAAGACGAACGTGAGCCTCTTTTGGCCAAGTTCTTTCGGAAAGGCTTCTTATTTTTGCCTCTATACTTTCCTTCCTCAATTGATTCTAATGATCTATCCAAAGTAACATAATCACAAAATCCATCATTGTCGTCAAACTTTTCTGACAGCTTTTTGCATGAAACACTGTGCATATTCAGGACAGAACTGTGTCTAAAATATCTCCCACAAAACTGACAGTTTTGATTGGTCTCGCTTGGGCCCAAATTATCCATAAGTAGGGTTCCTCCACTAGAAACTGGGTACTGCAATGGACTATGTAAACAATTGTGTTTACCTAAACCAGAAGTATCAGAGAATTCTATGTTGCAAAATTGGCAGATCAACTTCTGAGAAATGCCCTCCAACTTCACCTCCTGAAGACACCTGGAAACAAAGTACCTTACGTCAGCTACTGCAGTTAACAGGAATAGGGATCAGATGTGTAGTCGAGGTTCTACTGCCTGCTAATACATATGGTCAAAAGAAGAAAATTGATTTACTCCTATGGAATCCATGGCAAGGTATCTAAACAAAACTATAATGTTGAAGTTCAAAATTAATCCTTAATAAGCTTTGATACTCTTGGACGAAGAAGGTGAAATGAAATAATTCCTCAGACATAAAACAGATTTAAACAAAGTAATTCTTCAACTTTATTGACAAGATACTGAAAATGAGCAATTATAGAGGTTTTGACAAAATATGGTAGTGAAGTGCCAGAATACTTAAGTCTCAAATCAAAACTCAGAATCAGTTTTTATTAGTAACAGCTTTAGACTTAAGATGGCTACATATAGCTCGATGTCTATTTAAGTATTTCTTCGTTTTCATTGTGGTCCCACACCCATCACAAGCAAAAGGCCTAGCATCAGAATGAACAGCAGAATGACCACGAAGTTGACCAGGTGTTTTGAAGGCTCTGCCACATTCGGAGCACAAATATGGTTTTTCACCGGTATGGAATCGAATGTGCCTCTTCAAAAGGGATCTAATTGAATAGGCTTTTTCACAATATGGGCATTGATATGGATTGATACCAGAATGAATTTTACGATGGTAGTAGAGCATTGATGCACTTGTCAGGAACTCACCACAGGATTCACAGACAGTTTTCACTTCTTTTGTATGATATCGGTGGTGGTCATCACGATTTTGTTTAGAGGAGAATGATTTGTCACAATAATCACAAGAAAATGGCTTGGTATTACTATGAACTTGCATGTGGCGATGCATGACACCTCTAGTATTAAATCTTTGACCACAGGTTTCACATGCATAGAGAAGTTCTTTGGTGTGAGTTCTAATATGTGCTACAGTTTTCTCCAAGTTCGGCCAGGACTTCTTACAAACTACACAGTTAAACACATCCTTATTTTCCACACGTGAATGACATTGCCTCAACAGGTCAGCTTCTTTTTCAGTGATAGGAACTCCTAGAACAGGTCTTTTACTTTCAATAGCTTGCTCTAATCGTGAAACGACTGATCTATGATTGTCACGAACATGAACTCTGAGGTCAATCATTCTCTCAAAAGTTACATTACAGTCCTTACATGGGATCCTTGGCTTTGACTCAGGTTTTTTATGCTTTTGTCTGATATGAATCTCAAGTTCAAACTTTTTTCCAAAATTGGTCTTGCACAGAGGGCAAGAATGCTTTGGAACATTATGAGACATATACATATGTCGTTTGAAAACCATTTCATTACTAAATTTGGCAGGGCACTGTTTGCATGGGAAACTCCCACCTCGTATCACAGAAACTGACGCTTTTGGGATATTCTTAACAGGGCTCTTCACTGGACCACTTGAAGGAACTCTTGTAACAGTTATTTCTCTCAAATTCGGAAATGGCCTAGCTGCATTAGATTTAGGAAGAATGGGTTGGACTGGACTTGAAGATTTAGTATTAGGAGTTTGAGAAACAGTGAGAATAGGTTGCATTGAAAGAGACAAATTAGTTGCCGATCCAGATAGTCTAGTTGGTTTAGGTTTAGAAGACTGGACCAGTACCATTTTCTTTTTTGGAATGGGTGAAAGAGAAGACTTCTGATTGGCTGAAGCTGCACTTCCATTTTTGTTGTAAACAATATAAATTTGGGGGGGAGTCTTGCGCTTGGTAGGTGTATTTTTCACTGCCCTTGACGACATGGGAGGACTTTGTACAAAATTTACTACGGTCTGTGGAAGACTAGGTCTTGGGGCAATAGGACGAAAGGTGGTCCGACTGAGTGGCTGACTTCTTCCTTGATGTTGACCAACTTCGTTTTGACTAATATTTTCCTTTCCTCGAGTGTAACAGTGATCAATCTGAGATTGATTTTCACAATTAGTTACTGATGGATTGTACTCCTTCTTAATTTCCACACACAGCACATCATCGATATCCTCAGTAACATCAGCTATCAACCTGAAATCATAAAGTGGTGTCAATCTTCTGCTGGATTGCATACCTTTGCTGTTGCTCACACCTAGCAGTCAATACTGCAAAGATAAATAAAGCCCCAGTTTGGAAGAGTTGACACCTTGTTTAGAAAGTTGTGAGCCAAGTTAAAACTCAAACTTTTCACCATGATTGTGTGTTTAGCTGTTAGGCTGTGCTAAGATTTAGTATGGAGATACAATCCATTCCAAATTTCTTTAAAAATATATATAAGAAAAAGCCAGGGAAAGGGGCGACATGAATTTACCACAACTTGCTACATCCAAAATACCCCTATCAATTTTTCTTTTGATCCGTTTAGAATCACTTAAGGATGAAAATGTGCACTTCATGCTGCTGTAAATTGTTCTTTTTCTTGATGAATGCTTCTGCTTATCTTATTATTCTTCAGACACAGCATTGCTTCAAAATTTTCAGATGTAGCACTATATTATAGATGTCTTCGAGAGTACTATTAAATCACTCTACTTTCTTCTCACTCCTCTAACCTCGGTAATGTGACAGTGTAATAAAATATCTTCATAGTCATTTACATTTAGACTTAAAAAATTAAACATAAGTGGCACACTGTTTTATGTATTATTGCAATGTGTAAAATAAAATATATATCTTATTCATAAACCAAAAACTTAAAAAAATATTTTGACAGACTGTCTTTGAGAACACAGGTGGTAGCACTTTTGAAAAAGCTAAAATTATAATGAACACATGTGGCACCTAAATAGAGATGGATAGTACGGGCAACTTTGATGCAACAAATTTAACTCATGAGGGCAGAAAGATTTCTAGAGTAACGACAATTGCTGAGGGGGGAGGAACTGAATTTTAGCCAAATGTAAATCAACAAATTCTATGAACTTCCAAAATCTAATTCACAAAAGAGTTAATCAATAATAACGGAAAGGAGATCTTAGAACTTTCAAAAAGTTTGCTTAATTCACCATCATCATCTTGCAATTTTGTATTTCTTCTTAAAGGAGAAGAAAAAGCTGATTCAAGGATTTGTAGTGAAAGAAAAAGAAACTATCCAAGGCCTGAAAAATGAGGGTGGAGCAACAGCAATGGTTTTAAAAAAATAGATTTGTTGTACAAAATGAATTTAAAGAGTGAAGCATTTCAATAAGATGATAATAACCATTTTAGATTTTAGAATTACTGCAAGTATTAAGTTATATATTGAAACCTTTTCCCCCCCCTATGATGCTTCTTATGGTATATGCCGGTACTTAAACCAACATTTCATGAACACAATCAAATTTCATTTCATATTGGAAAGAGAAGGAGAATTTTATTTTAAAATCAAAACATGAGCAATTGCCTCAGTGGAGAGCAAATTTCATTAGGTCATAACATCAAAAATTACGTCCTTGATGACGGCCAATATGCAAAATGTAGCATCTAATACTACTAACACAATTACTGAAGCGAGGCCGACAAAAAATAAACCAAGTTGATATTGATAAATCTGTTCCAATCCAAAGCTGAATGACAATGTCTGAGTGTGTGTCACTCGTAATTAATGCTGATCTTGAATTATCTTGAAGTCTTGTGAAAAGTATTAGTAGTCATTATATATATGATCTCTAATCAAACTGTCATAAAATGATTTTATACTGAATTCTTGAAATTTCACGCAAAACAATATTAAATGATTAAGTAATTTTACTTGATAGCAAGGAACAGCTAGTTACTGTAATGATTGGATTTGTACGCAAATCTTAATATACCTGAAGTTGAACCTATATTGAAAGAGGGAAAAGGGAAAATATTTTGTTGTTTCCTACCTTTCTGTTTCTCCACCCTTAGACAGTGCTTCTCCAATATCCTGAATAGCTTTTTGAGTTTCACTTTGATTGTCCTGAGAAAGGAAACAGGCAGAAATCATTAGCTCATGCATGCTTTAATTAAAACAGATGTTTTCATGAAATAAAATGGAGGGTATTGCCTTACACTCGAGAACATTTCATCATTAGAGGTTGTAGGATTATCAGCAGTAAACATATCGGAATGTGAAGCTGTATCTTCATAGATATCAGCATCTCTTGAACCAGAAGGTGAACACTGAAGAAAAAGAGATGGTATTGAGATGGAGCTGTCTAGTCATCCACAAACAATATAAAGAAAGAACTTGCAAGTTACCTGGGGATCACTGTTTGCACCAAACATAGCTTTCAATTTATGTTGAGCTTCAACACAAGATTCCGAAAGCTCGTGCCATGAAAGAACAGTAGAAGCACATTGAAAACAAATGTGCACCGGAAGGACATCACTTGGGCCAACCTGAACACAGAACGCACATCATCAATACAAAGAAATCTAACATTCAAGTACTTAAAATAATATTTAAGCTAAAAAACAAACCTGTATGGGTAAATATTTTTCAATCTTATCAGAGAGACTATTTTCTAGTCCTTCACTCTCGAATATGGGAATAAGTAGTTGCGTATAACATGCACAAAGACGACACAGTGAGTTTCGACTGTGAACCTCTTCTTTCACAGGTTCCACAAGTTCTGCAAAAAAAAAAAAGGAAAATGAAGAATATGAAAAGATTATGTTTATATATACATATATATAATTCGTTCAGGCAAGAAAGAAAAAAAAAGAAATCAGAGTGGTAGACATTAAATGATAGCAGAAACGAGTGGAGGGGGAAGGAGGAAAAAAAAACTGACGTAAAAAGAGCAATTGCTCTTGCAGTTGGGGTCAATGACACAATATGACCTCAAAGCTAACATGTGAAAAAAAAGAACGAATGAGAAAACCTTTGCAAACAGGATTTTGAATCAATAGAAGTTGAAATTTAATACCAGTATAATGTACAGGATACATTTTTAAAAAATATTCAAGAATAAGGTAGGACCACATATCTGCCAAAAAGCCAGTGAGGTCAGTAATTTGACATAAATAAGGTGTAGGTACAGACACTTAAGTGTAAAAGCAAATCGTTATTAAGCACTAAATTACTCAAAAATCAGCAACAAAGCTCAATCTAAGGTATCAATCAGATCAATACCAAAGTTGGCTTCAGGAGGAGAAGCTGAGGAGAGGTTAAAGTTCTGGAGGGAATACATTAAAAGAAGGGTACTAAGAGCAAATTAAAATTCCGGGAAAGGCAGACAAATAAAAGCTATGTTAGACACAAACTTGGTGTGTTCCCAGTATTCAAAATAGTTTCTATTTGTGGCAGTGGCCTTCATGAGCACGGCGCGCAAAGCGTTCTCATCGAACCGCGGAGAGGAGGGGCCGGGAGGGGCTTAGAGTACAGTAAAAGCGAGTATATTTACCTTCGTCCATCTCAAATACAGGCTACCTTTAACGTCAAAGCTCTTCAAATAGTCATAACACCACTAGGTGCCCCTGTAGTCGAGCAAAATACAAATTAAAACAAACTAAATGTAAATCACCACCAAGTTTCTCCAAAATGGTTCTTGGGTTGAAAATGGGTGGTGATCTTCGGCCGATCGGAGACAAGGGTGTGTTTACTACCAACTTCGGTTAGCCTACCTACAAACCAGAAAAGGAAGCAATTTATAGATATACAATGAGATGAAACTAATAAAAATAACGTCAAAATAATACCGGTATTAAATTTCTTCACTTTCACTCTCAAAAAAACAGTTTTAACTTGGTTTTCATAAAACTATTGTGTGTGCACAGGTTGGTGCTAAGACTAGAGTAGGGAAAGGGGAGAAGGGAAAAAGAGACGAAGAGACGCCGTTATTCGCACAACCACAGCACACAGCACACGATTAGGTTATGTTTCCCTTACCTAGCGAGCGGACATTCTACTTTTAGATAGTTCTATTTTTCTCATAGCATCATTAATGCAGGGCATAGTGACATCTGTACTCTTCTCCACCAAATGATACTTCCATATTTCAAAAAATAGTACATCTGTTTTCTTACACGTATTGTTTTACTTATGTCAACAAATGCTATGATGGAGTCTGAGACCACTTCGCTTTCACTAATGTCATCAAGTTCTATGATGGAGTCCAACGAGACTACTTCAGAAGTTATTGCCGCTAGTAACAAAGTTACGTATAAAAAATTTGTTGATTCCGATGGAAAAGAAGTCATGACAAGAACACCTGCTCTTCGATTTATCTGTTGCATTTGTAAGAGTACATACAAAATGAAACTGCCATGTATCAAACACTTGCTAGTTGAGCATGAAATTGTTGTGAAGGAAGTTAGAGGCTCTGTTCCTTTTTTAACTGCCAAGAATCGATACGACTGCCCAAAATGTTCTAAAACATATACAAAGAGAAACAATTTATATCGGCATATTCGTAAAGCACATAAAGGAGACGGTTTGCAAGACTTAATTAAAGAAGACTCTGAGGCTGATATGCCTATAGCATGTCCCATGTGTGGTAAGGGTTTTGCTACATTTGGCGGTGTAAATCGACATATTCGTCGGTATCATACCTATGACTTCGATCCTGAACTTCAATCTTCGTCAGATATGATCCCTTGTAAGCTTTGTGATATGAGATTTCCAACTGATCCTTCTCTTACAAAACACATGAAGGGCTTCCATCATGCTCTTGCTGTTTCAAGATTGAACCTTGATGGATATAAAGAAGATGTCTTTGAATGTGGTGTGTGCAGTGTTCAGATTAAAGAGCCCTCTGAATTACGGGATCACTTATCACAGTTACATGAGAAATATGATTTTCCTATTGAAATTACCAGCGATACTGAGGACAAGGAAGAATCTAATCAAGTTTTTAACTGTGATCGTTGCCGCACTTTCTTCAAAACAGAACAGGAATGGAGGTCACATATGAAAGAAGCACACAATGCTTGCCCTGACTCTTCCTGTCGCAGATGTGGGTCGTCTTTCTCCACATATCATGATCTGAAATGTCATTTAAAAGATGTACATTTCTTTTCTATACCAGAGGGAACTTATAATGTTGCACCAATGCACAGAGTTGGCAGTGGTAAGAATGCAAACTTCAAAGGATTATATTGATTTGATGTCTTTTAACTTCTGGGTCTATAAACTAACTAATAATTTCTTTGTATTTCAGACCTAGGACTCAGTAGAAACCTATGGGTTGCCATGGAAAAAATTCCGAAATGGCTTGTTAAGCACGGAGACGGACAGCTTCTTGTAGTTGTACATAAAGATGCTTAGTTTTCAATGTAGAATCTGTTTATGTTGTGCCTTTTTGTGTATCATATGATTAAAATGTAGAGGTTTCCT